TTATTTAAATATTTAACATTTTAATTCATTAATGATACATTTAATTAAATATTTAATAATGTATTTATTGACACTCCAAGCCCTCCATACACATAAACACGCTATGCAGATTTAGAACTACACACGCATAGCACACTCATACCGCAGAGAAATGCAAAAATGTTTGTGTTTGATTGCAAAAGCAAAGCAGGAGTGACATTATTTCATTGTCGGTAATGTTATAAAACCAGCTCCATGAACTGCTGAATGAACAGTCTGACCTACAGAAGTACAAAGCTATTGCGAATCGAATAACAAAATATAACTTGCACATTTGATTAGTGTAACTTAAAGTGTATCAGTACAATTCAGTTAATGAGGCAGAGCGACTTTATTGGGCAGGCCTGGTGTCTTCATCTTAAACTCTAAACTTAGCATAAAATCTTTAAGTTTAATCCTCTAATGAAAACAATAAATGTGTATTTTAAAAGCGGTCAAACTAGAGTGTTACTTTAACCTGTCAGCAATTTGTTTAATATAACATATTATTCTTATGTATAGTGTCATACCTCTGCGAACTGCAGGTGAAGTCTACTAGGTCTGATGCGATGAAGATCGCCGATGAAAGGAAGTGCCCAGGGTCCAGGAGGAAAATTTCTCGGCACTCTGTTCTTTAAAAAATCAGTCAGGAGCAGAAAAACACACAGGAATAAGAAAATGCTGCTGAAGTCTATCCACTCTAAGCCGAGGACACTGTATAATGTCTCCATGTCTTCAGTTGTTTGTGCTGACCTGTAGTTCGTTTACAGGTAACAATCAGTTGATCGATTTGTTAACTCCCCCTCGAGCTTTGGTTTCTTTTCACAAAGAGAAAAAAGAGAATCAAAATGCGTCATTACAAAAAAACGTGAGAACGTTTACTCCGCTTATTCGTCAGATGTGTCGGGGATGGGATAACACTCTTAACTGCGCCAGCACAACAGATCTGAGGTTTGGTACCAAATGCATGCGGTAAGCATGCAGCTGGGGCATGCTAGGTTGTGAAAACAGTGCTCAGTGGTCTCTTGTTGTACCTGCAGCTGCTGCAGAGGGGTCCAATGGCCAAAAAGCAATATAGTAACACAGATTTCTCTTTGAAAAGCGCATATTAGCATAGTAAAACCTTCACTGGCTGTAATGGTGGTTTAACCAGATCTCTTAGTTTCTGTAGATGTTCATAGAACTTGATTTTTTCTCAACAGAGACTTCAGAAGTTGAACTTCAGAACCTGTAATCTGCTGAATGCACTCTCCC